TCAAGATATTACACTTGTCATCACAAAGCTAGAACTAAACTTATCCATGATTATTTCTTTATAAAATGCTAGTTTTAACTTAGCTAATCAAAATCTATATCATGGATAGTTGTCCCCAGAAAGTGTTATATGCACACTAACTTTTTAAGTGTTTTGTTAAGATACACCAAATTACTTAAGTGATAGATATTCATAGACAAATATAGATAAATATTGTGGAAAAAAATTAAGAAACAAGTAACCAAAGGTTGTTTAGTTTTTAGTATGATTTTGTTATAGTGGTAGATACAGAAAGAGAAGAAGAAAAATTGCAAATAGAATGAGTGAATTAATGAGAAAGGTTATTATATACACATGTAGAGCAAACTTCGCTTTGAAGATCTCTCTCTCTTTCTCCCCTATGTGTTCATATCCTTTCCCTGTCGGCGCGTAACAACAACAACCGAGACAACACAAACAAACAAATCCTCCACGTGTCGTGACCTGAAACCAGGTGGTCGTCATGTACAATATTACTATAAAACATATAGTAACATCCAAGAATATGCCATACAAATCCTAGCGCTTTGCCTTCCTTTTGAAACTCCTTCGTCAAGAGGCACCTTCGTTATAAGCTTTAATTTCACTCATTATATCCCTCTCATACACCATATAAACTAATACGTTGTCATAGTCTTGTTGCTATGGCACCATTTAGACTCAAAGTCACCACATACATGTTACTGATAAAAAGAGAAAAGGATACAAAATTTTTCTTATATTCTCCCATGTTTCACAACACATACCCAAAGTGATCACATTAGCTAGAACAAGGTATATAAATTAGTGGCAGACGAAGGAAGATAATATATCTTAGATGTGTATATATATTAAACATATTATTATACACAAATACTATACCCACCCACGTATATGAGCCTTTAGGCAAATGCCAAGAAACCAATAATGTTAAATATGAGCATTGAGCATTGAATAAAATACATTTTTTGTGTTATAAAGTTTTGAGTAACAACACTTGGTTATATAATGAGTAAAAGTAAATTTTTTACAAATATTATATAAAATGTGTATAAAATGTAAGTGATGTACCTAGCCATATGACAGATTCGTCTAAATTAAGAACAAAAATTCAAGGGAATTTTGCTGAAATGGGTATTATTTGGTCCAAAACTTTCAAATATGGAACATCTACCAGGCCTTCAATTTTGGGCATTTATGGACTAGCGTAAAAGACAGTTTTGCCCTTGTATCTGTGTCTTCTTCTCCATTCTTCTTCCACGACAACCAGCGCTTACTCCATGCCCAAAGGTTTTGATTCTTCTTTCAACCACAATACAACATCAATTAATTTCGTTTTGAATAAAGGAAACTAAACCCTAAGGGGATCTAGTAAACCCAAGGGCTTGCTTTATAGTATATAGTAAATCGGATAATGCAAAATCGAACTCGAATTTGTAAAATTGAAATCGAAAGTGAGAGAATCGAACATGTGAGATTAGAGATCTTGTGAAACCAATGGGTACCAGTCTTGAATTTGGATCACACACCATGGAATCGCCCAAAGAATCATCACAACCATGGACGCAAATACTTCAATCTCCGCGATTCGTCGATTAACCTCACCACCCGAAGCTTCTGATACCTCCGATCGTTGCAGTACTTGCAGATTTTGAATCGCCCATGCTTCGATAACGCCACAAACCCGGAAATCCCATAAACACAGAAATCCCCTCATAAAAACTACGATTGAAGGAATCAAACAATGGCCAAATTCGAGAATTGAGCCTTCGTCGTGAGCCAACAAGTCCCTGAGAATCTCTCTGTTTTTGAGACTCGCCACGACGATGATGACGTGTCTCGCTTGCGGTCAACGTCGCCGATTCTGAGCGTAATCTCGGAATTCACCACGACGACGACGAAGAATCTTCTTATTGGTTCAGGTCCGTTGTTTTCGTACTCTGCTTCCGATAGATCCCAAAGAATCTCCGCGTTGAGTGAACCGGAGGAAGAAGTCAATGGAATATTCCGGTTGTGCCAATGGAATATTCCGATATGGGCGACGGCGAGCAGCGGAGGCGTGCGAATTTCAGTTTGAGCGTGAGGGCAAAGTAGACATTTCACCTAAGTTAGAAATGCCTAAAACGAAAGGCTTGGCAAATGTACCTGATGTGGTAAGTGTGGCTGAGAAAAAGCCCATTCTGGTAAATAACTCAAAATTCAATCCGCTACCATTTGTAACTCTTTTTCTCTCTCTTTCTCTTACACACAAACCTAAAAAAAACTCTCCTTTCGTCGACTCATTTACTTAAATATATAATTTTCCACTCAATCAAATTCTCTCTCGCACAACTAAATAATAGAGTGCGTTTTGATTATTTGCAGCGATCATTGGACATGGGTCGGGTGAAATTGGAGTTAAAGCGGATAGAGAAGAACACGAACCGACAAATTACGTTCTCAAAACGTAAAAAAGGTTTAATAAAAAAAGCGTATGAATTGTCAACACTTTGTGATATCGATCTTGCCCTCCTCATGTTCTCTCCTTCCGATCGACTATGTCTCTTTTCCGGTCAAACAAGGTACTTCCATTTCTTATTTCTAAAACATTCCATACCCTTCAGGGCCTTTTTCGGTCAAACAAGGTACTTCCATTTCTTATTTCTAAAACATTTCATACCCTTCAGAGCCGACTTTGAAGGGAGCAAAGTGAAACAATTGTATTGGGCTCCCAATTTTGTGGGACTTCCATTTTATGTTTTTTTTTTTGGTTTTTATATAAAATGCAAATAAATAAAGTATATTTAAGCGAATATGTTTATAAGAAATTAACATATTTTTTTTAATTTGGATTCTATAAAAAATTGAAAAAACTTTAATTTTTATGCATTTTATACACTAAAATAAATTAAATTAATATATAATAATACTAAATATTAAGTATATAATTATATTATAGACCCTCATTTTTTGTTTTGTATTTGGCCCTAATTTTTTCAAAAACAGCCGTGCCCTTCTAGATCTTCTCGTGATTTTTCAACTTAGTTAAAGTGTAACCATGTTTTACATATACATGTACTGCATATATCATTTGATTAAGGACAAAATGACAACCCACATATTCTTTTTATCAAAATGACAAAATAAAGATCCTCTATTCGGTGCTTGGTGGAATCCACCGAATAGAAGATCTTTATTTTTTCAGTACTAGTAGTTTTGATTTATTTCCCACTTGCTTTGTAATTCAAATATTAGAGGGTGGACACGTTTTTACATATTACTGAAGATTACAGAACATTTTCAAATATAGTAAAAGTTTCGGGCTTTTTGTGTTAGTAGAAAAGAGCTCTGCTGTTGTTTTCTATAAATAACAAAAGTTTCGTGCATTTTGGTAAACAACAGAGTTCAGGGTAAAATTAATAAATACTAAAAGTATCGGATGTTTTTGGTAAATATAGAAAGTTTCGAAAAACTTTCGAAATAGCCCCGGAACTTTAATAATGAGGAAAACAGTCACAAAAAGTCTTTAATTTGTTGTCAATTTTTTTTTTTTTTTTAAGTTGTTGTCATTTTATTACATAAAAATCATTAGAAACACCACAAAAGTGTTATATTAGTTTCCAATTGATTCAACATAGAAAATTTCTGGTTGTTTAGGATTTTTTGATAAGTTTTCACCATTTGCATCTGCAATTACAGTAGTATATTATTATTTTTATTCCGACATGGCCATCTCGCGTAGATATGTAGCACTCCAAAACGAAACACGTCGTGTTTCAATGACATCAGTGCATGCAATGACTCAGTGTGACTGTGAGCCCCATCAAATAAAACTTATCATTATATGTTTTTTCAGAAATTAAAAGTTGAGAAACAATTTCCTCATTAATTGTAAAATAAGAAAACAGAAGCCTGAAAAGAACAAACCGATTCTACTTGTCACTGCATAGCTTCTTCTCTCCTTCATTTGTCGGTTTGCTCCCACCGGTTTCTCTATACCACTTGGTTTGTTCTTCTTCAACGATACATAACATCTAAGAAAATATATGTAAATTAACACATGCATGGTGTTGTGTATCTCCATAATCGTAATTTTGAGTTAATTTCAGGATCGAGGACGTTTTGGCGAGGTACATCAATCTTCCTGATCAAGAAAGAGAAAAGTATGTGTCTAATCATCTCATTTGTCTGTCTACTTGGTTTATTATTTCTATATTCACATGTATTTTTTGGTGTATTTTTGTGAAAAATCTTCAGCGCCATAGTTTTTCCTGATCAGAGCAAACGCCAGTGAGTATATATCATATATTTCCATTTAATATAATAGTATATACTTTATTTCATATATATATAATTTGTTACACAACTTTTCTTCTCTGTTTTGCAGAGCTATCCAAAACAAAGAGGTGAGACTAATCATATATGGTTATATTCTAATCACATATTAATATTTTAATATTTAATCAGCATTTTTTTTTTTGTGACAGTATTTGTTAAGAACTCTGGAAAAACTCAAAATTGAAGATGACATGGCTCTCCAAATCAACGAACCTCGGTTTCTTTCTCTTTAATCCTTATAATTAATTTGTTCATCTTGTTTATATATGTTGATATGTTTAGCTAATTTCTTACCTCATGACTCTGGAAAAGCCCTGAAGCTATCAACACCGATGTCGAGGTTATTAATTTCCCAATCACATGTACATAACTAATTTTTTAAAGAATTTTTCTAATTATATTTTACAATTTTAAAGGAACTTGAGCAAGAAGTTTGTAGATTACAACAGCAGCTTCAGATATCAGAGGAAGAACTAAGGTATTTTTCTTTAATAACTAGTCATGTGATCCTTCCTATCTAATCAATAAGATTATAAAACTTACGTTGGGTGATGTAACATAAATAGGAAATTCGAACCAGATCCAATGAGGTTTACATCAATGGAGGAGATTGAAGCATGTGAAACTCATCTCATCAATACATTGACAAGTGTCGTACAGAGAAGGGTGACACATATTACGCATAATATTTTCTCTGCTATTTAAATGCATTGTAAGTAAGAGGGGGAAAATTGATTTGAGTGATTGGTAATCGCAGGAACATTTGTTGAGGAAGTCCTGCGAAGCACCAAGTAACCAACAAAGCATGCAGGGGATCCTTCTAAATGACATCGTCGAGGATTGGGGGTCTGAGGCTGAGCCCAAACAAGCCCATGTGATGGCTAATTCGGCCCATCAGTCAAATCAGCTAAGGTATTATATAGTCCAACCTTGTTTTTTCATATATGATTTAATCATTTTAAATTATTATTGATTTTTTTTTGTCTGTAAGCTATGATTTGCTCTTACAAGGGAGTAATTCGAGTTCGAACCAAAATCCAAAATGATATTAGGTGAATCGTAATACGCCGAGCATTAATGGAGAGAGAATGCAT